GCTGGAGGTGAAGAGTTGAAACGTCCACATGATGGCAGCAGAGCTCACATTTAGATTTAGAGTGAACTTAAACGTCACCAACAGGTTTCTTCTGGATAGAAAATGACAGAAATAAGTAACAAAAACACAGGAGGACATTGTGTTAGAGGTGTATAATATATGTTTTCTATATGTAGAAGAAACTGTGCTGTGTCTTTTTTTCTGTTTTTAAATAAGCAAAAAAAGTTTTACAGATGTTTGCCGTTTATTGAGAGAAAAATGAAGGACTTTAAAACTGCTATTTTAAATTTATTTATTTATTTATTTATTTATTCATTTATTTATTGCTGAATTACAGGTAATATCTACTAAAATCACAAAAAAAAAAAAAAATCTTACCCTGCACACTGAAAAAAAGGCCCTAAAAAATGTATTCATTTACTAAATTTGACTGTAACTTTACACTTTTTGTACCGTATTTAAATCTGCAATTAAATAAGATGTTTGCTGTTATTTGGGGAAAAGAAGTTTACAATAAGGACTGAAAAAATGGTGGATAATTATTTTACAGAATGGACTGTAAAAGCAAATAAACAAGCAAACAATAACCAGCCAAAACCTCCAGAACGATTCAGAATAATACAGGAGCTGCATTTAAAAAATAAAAATAAAAAAGGGAGTATGAATAACTTTTTGACCTGACATTTCAAATTAAAATGAAAATAAATAAATAAACGAACAAACAAACACAACATATGTTCAAATATATCATCAGCATCTCAAACACAATACTTGAATAATAAATGAATAAATACATCACAATAAATCTTACTTTATGTGATTTCTAGTCACGAAAAAAAAAAAATCTAAATGTTTCCTGTTTAGGACATAGTCGACCTATGATGCACTCAAGTATCCACACTTCTACAAGCTCAGTTTGATTTAATGCACAACTTCATTGATTTGTTTCGATTACACTCCATTATATATAAATCCACTAATGGAAATGAATAAATCAGAACAGGGCAGTTACATCTGTCAAACCTGTGCTTTAAATCTACTCACACTCACCTGTATGTCATAGTAACAAACAGTTAACACACACAGTGGGATTTGTCCACATCCTGTTTTATTAGTGACTCTGTTTGGCTGCAATGATTTAAACTGCATGTCAGGTTCTTTAAGCTGCATGTGTGCATGGTTCTTGCTAAACAAAGCAACAAAAAAACATCTTCTGCATGTTGGAAAACTATATTTTGAATCATCTGCTCTCAAACTAGACAAATAAAAACAATCCATATAACTAAATACAGTCTTAATATAACAAGATAAAATAATTAGGTTTGTTCAGCACTTTGTTTTATTAGTATATCAAGTACTACACAACTGAAGTATGATTGATTGTGGGTTTGAAAAATCCAAAGAGAACTCATGTTATAAAGAACATCTAGCAGGTACAAAACAGATTCCTGCACACTGTTTAACCTGCAATCATAAATTTATCAGTGCAATGTTTCGGTCCTCGACCTTCATCAGGCAAAATTATTTGTTTTGTTGTGCTGCATTAATAAATTTATGATTGCAAGTTAGACAGTGTGCAGGAATCGGTTTTGTACTTGACTGAAAAATCCAAAAATCACATTCAAGTAAATTAAATTGCATTAAAATACAGCACTTCAATAAATATAGATATTTAAAGGTATATATTTATGTTTAGTAGTTATTTATTTGTAATTATATCAACACAGTAATTTAAATAAATATAAATAATCCTAAAAAAAAATCTATTTTCATAGTTTTGAAAGAATTACGTGCTGCGTGCTTTCCAGCCTGCGTGGTGACGTCGCTGCGTCAGTGCGTAGGGGGCGTGGCCAGCGGCAGTCACCGCTGCGGCTGCAGCCAGAAGAGTCAGCGGGAGAAACAGTGCGGCAGTTTGGGGACGAACTCCGCACAACAGTTGGCTTTCCTGCCCATAAACGGATATTTTACAGCCACCCACTCCCGGAGCGGTAAGTGGAGCTTATTTACGGTGGATTTTAATTCAAATTACGCCGCGTACCGACGGTTTTTCGGGCTGTTGTTAGCTCACGGCTGCGGCTTTGTCACTGTTTATACTGTTAGCGACAAGTTGAGAAGCGCAGACTGTAGTTTGTTTTTGCGCATTTCCTTTAAGACGGCGGAGTTTGGTTGATGTTTTCTGTGTGGAACTCACAGAAATACACGCAGTGGGACACGACAGACCAACGTCAGGCGTAGAGGAGCAGCACAGGGCAGTGAATAGGACAGAATAATGGGTTTTATTTGCGGTAAAGTGTTTGGTAATGTGGATTAGCTGCTCTGACAGGACGAGTTAAAGTGTGTTGAGGTGTGTTGAGGTTGTCAGCCGGAGACGAAACGCTGCTGCTGCCTCTATTACGTAACTTAGTGAGGAAACGGTGGAACCTGTGACTGTAAACACTCAGCCTTTATTGCTATGTCACGGCTGGAGGAGCTGGTTTTATGGATGCACACAGCGACGTGGAGCTCTGACAGTGCTGCTGACTGGGATGTGCACATGTGCTGAGTGTGTGTCCGTGTGTGTGTCCGTGCATGTGCTGCTCACGGTCCACTGCAGTCCTGCTGCTGCTGCTGCTGCTGCTGGTTTAGAGTTTCACTGTTGCAGGAGTCAAGGTCAGCTGGACGCTGGCTCCAGAGCTGATGATGATGATGATGATGCTCTTTGGGATGCAGGAGGAGGCTGACCTGCTTCAGGATCAGGCCTCAGGTGTGAATCTGGGTGAGATGTGGGATTAAAAGCAAGGATTTCCTCTGCAGGTGGCTTCAGTTGAAGGTTCTGCTTCGGTCCCGGTGTCTGAAAACCCACTAATAACTTCACAGGCTGGTTTGAGAGTACATACATGTGAGCAGGTTCATTTTATTTAACAGCACAGGTGTGTCTCACTCAGAGGGAAACAAAATGATCTAAAGCTTCTGATGCATGTGTTTGAAGTGAAGCTCCAGGTCAGTATTTGCTGTGTAATGCATTTAAAACATGTGACTGAGCATTAACACAGGAGACAGCATCAAAACTGTGACTTTAGCTCAAGCAGGGCGACAGTAATTCAGACAGACTGCATGGTATAAACCTTTTGGAAATAGCAAAACCACGACTAGAAGTAGAAAGACTAGTTTCTGTGCACGCAGATTGCCATAAATCACACAAAAAAGGGCATAAAACAGATTTTTATTGGTCATTTATGTTACAAAAACATGGAATGTACAACATTTTTTCCAGGTGCTCACATGTCTTGTTTAAATGGTGTCTACTAGATGTATTTGTGCCCCCTCGTTGAGTAAACACTGCCTGCAGTTCAGTCAAAAACTCAGAATATTTGTCACCTAACCGTTTATCGCAGCTGGATCAGCCATGGCTTCACAGTTGCGCCGAGGAGTGCAGAATTTTTTGTTTTTTACAGATTATAGTTTTTGCAAATGGTTTATTTTTAGCAGATTTTAAAGTCCTGTAGAATGAAGCGATTTCCATGAAATATCAGGATTTTAAGGTTAGATTTAATTTTTTCCTGACAGAACGCCACGCCACAAATATTCAGTTCTAGGATGGTCAGGATGTTAAAAATACAGCAAATATTTCTGTTTTTGCAGTTTTTTGCTCTAATAAATAGTGTAATTATGGTGATTTATTTTGTAAACATGACATGGCTGCCAGTAGGTTTGGTGGTTCAGATGGTTAAAATCCTGCTTGTTCAATATTTACTGTGTAAGAGATTTAAAACAAAGCGAAAGCATGATCGAAATATCAACTGCTCTGTAGTCTAACGCAAAAATGAGACGTGAAGAAGCGGCTAAAAAGGCCACATATTGGGGAACATATCGGTCAATCCAAGTTAGCATTTTTTAAAATACAAACATTGTTCTCATTAATAAAGAGCACATTTACCTCTATTGTAATAGGATATTGTTAGAACATAGTGGATTCAGTAGAGCTGAGCATCAAACTTCAACACTTTATTGCTCAAATTCATATTATAAATTCATGTTATTTTTATTTTTTGTTTTTATTTGGTACTTCCTGACTGAAGCCTGGTTTAAATTTAGTCAAAGTTTATGTGTTCAACTGATCCCACAAGTCAAAAATAGAATGTTCCTGCTGAAGATTTCCATTAAATTGCCTTTTTTTTGTTTAACCCTGAATCCAAGCATCCAGGAGCCATTCTTCTGCTTGGCTTTGCACCATCCATTTCCAGTCTTCCTGGCTCTGTTTGGACTCCCTGTAGAGCTGGAGAACTCCCAGCTCTGTCCATTTTCTCCTGCATTTCCACATAAATCACGGCTCGTCTCTTTCTGTTGAACCAAACGTCGGTCCTTCTTTGGCTCGAGCGCTGAGCCTGCAGGGAAAACCTCGAGGCATTTCCACATTACATGTGTGAGCCTCAGTGTTTTGTCAAAATAAAAGCCTAGAAGATGCTGTAAATGTTTTTTTAAAATCTTTTATTAAGCAGAAATGCAAAACACTGTCTGGCCTCAGCTTCTTAAATGTAAGGATCTGCTTCTTTTTTGTTTTATTTAATTATAAATTTCATTTTTAGGAGGATTTTTAATGATATTTAGATAAAACAAGCAACAGAAACGCGTCTGGGAAACACTGATTTTGACATTTTTTACTATTTTCACTTCCAAAAATGTAAAAAAATCAACTAATTTATTTTATTTATTTATTTTATTGTTTATTTGATGTGGACATCACAATCACATTGGACAGACCAGATGCTTTGTTTGAGTGTTTTAGCACATGTGCTAATTCGCAACACTTGTCCACAGGAGGCTTTTTATTTATTATTTATGAATAATTCAATAAACAGAATAGGTTTTTGTTGCCGCTGTGAGGCTTTAGGTCGAGCATTCACATAAATTAGACAGGTATGGTGAATTTTAAGAGCTGCGACTAACAATTATTGATTGATTTGGAGATAAAATGTTAACAAAAAGAGGAAAATGGCTGTTATGATGCATTCAGACTGTGTTGTATTGGCAGCATGTATTATATTTAACAACGATTGTCTGGTTCCAGCGTCCTAAATGTGGAGACCTGCTGTTTTCATGTTTAATTTAGTTCTTTAGACGGCTGTTTAGACAGAACAAGCGACATAAAGATGTCTTTAAAGATGTGATTTTTATTATTTGCACTTTAAAAAATCAGCAGATTGATGGATAATTCAGTAAACAGAGCAGCTGCTGGTGGTCTCAGGTTGATCTTTAATGCAAATTAGGCAGTTAGGTTGAAATTTAAGGGGCGCAGTTAATAGTTATTGTCATTCTGGGTTAGTTAGGTTGTTGTTTTGTCTATAAAACCTCAGAAAGTAGAGTGAAAATGCCTCTTATGACACATCCAGGCTGCTTTTTCTGTCCCACCAACAGATAAATTAAAGAGATCTCCACATTTTGCAAGCAGTGACCGTCTGCTATGACCGAGCAGCTGATTTATTCTTCTGCTTCAGTAAGACGACTTATCGACTCCGTCTGAGCCGTATTGACGAGCTGTGATCTGATTTGCCTCCACGTGGTCCACGCTCTCCTCTGTCTCCGTCATATCTCTGTTTGTGACTCATCCCGGACGCCCCCTCGCCACAATCCTCGTCGATTCATCTTCATCCCGTCATGCGTCGGGCACGTGTGCGTCGCTGCCAGCAGACGTCGGCCGTCTTATTGCCTGTAATAGATGGAGGAGGGCGATTGCATAATAATATTTATTAAATAATAAAGAGGAGCAGGCTGGTAATGAGCTGCGTCACCCTCTTCACCAAAACAGATCAGATTTAACCCAAAGATTGTTACACAAGCAGGTGGAGGAGCTGCTCCGAAACCACAGATATGAGAATAAAAAATACTGTTTAAAAACAAAAAAAATAAAGCAAAAATCTGGCAGCAAAGTGCCTAAACAAGTAGAATACTGTAACATTAAAAAAGGTTGAAAATATTCATCAATAATAATATTTTTTTATCTAATTTAAATCCACTATTTTTGAAAATACAGATGCTCCATGTGATCATTGTTTGCAGTTTTAGCGTCTTATTTTTTTTTTAACATGTAAGTTAATACTTTTTTTGTAATTTGACTACTTATTGTCTACAAATATAACAAAATGGGTAAAATCTAAAAAACAATGTCTCTAACTGTTTAATTTCCCATTTTTTAGCATTAAATATACACGTTTTCTTTCAGTGACTGCAAATATCTGTACATTTATTTGTTTTTTGTTGATTTGAATACAGTGAAACAATAATTTTATGCTTTTGGCTTCATAGTTTTGGTCGGTTACTGCAATATTTACATTTTTATTATATTTATCTCTAAACACAGCCTGCACTTCAGCTGAAAAGTGAATTTTTTTGTCACGTGACTGTTGGTCACAGCTGAGTCACTCATGATCTCACGGCTGCACCAAGAAGCGCTGAATTTTTTAGATTTTTGCAGAATCTATAAAGTGCAAATCATTTATTTTGGGCGGATTTTTAAATCAGACCTCTAGAATAGGTGGTTTTTGTTCCTGATTGCATGCTGAGATTTGGATAATTTCTCAGATGGAAGTAAAAGTGAAACATGAGTCGCTCAGAGAGTAGGAAACTGCAGATTTTTTTTCTGGTTTTGCAGGTATTCTTTATAACAAATTGTGTAATATTGGTGATTTATTTATTTTTCTTTTAAAACCAGCATGCCTTTCAAACTGCCAGCAGGTTTTAGGATTCACAGGGTTGATGTATTTTCTGCTCCTTTATTTTAGCGTTAATTTAATTTCACAGTAAAATCAAGGTAAACAATAAAATGGCAACACGTTTTTATAATATATTTGATCAAAAACAAATAAATGATGAATATTTTCTTATTTTTTATGCTCTCCTTTGCTGATTCAACAACATTATATGAATTTTAAAGACAAGAGCATCTTAATATTTTCTATTAAGCTGTAAAACCTCCTCAGACACCGTCCCCTTGTCGAGTCCACATGTAAAC